AGTAAAAAACAAACAAACAAACAAAAAAAACATCTGGCTAAACAGATGTTGTCACCATCAGTGACTCCTTCATTGACCTTGACTACATGGTCTACATATTCCAGTATTATTCCATCCATGGCAAGTCCAATGGCATAATCAAGGATAAAAACAAGAAACTTTCATCAACTGAAAGTCTATCTCTATTTTCCAGGAACAAGATCTTATTGACATTAAATGAGGAAATGCTCATGCTGAATATGTTGCAGGGTCTACTATCTAGGAGAAGGTAGGAACCAAAAGGGTCATCATCTCTGATCCTTCTGATGTCCCACATTTGTGACAAGCATGAACTAAGAGGAGTACAAAATATAGTCAGCAATGCCTCCTGCACCACCAACTGTTTAGCCCCCTGACCAAAGTCATCCATGACAATTTTGATGGACTCATGACTACTGTCCGTAACATCACTGCTACTCAGAAGACTGTGGATGGCCCTCGGGAAAACTGGCTTGTTGGCCATGGAATTGCCCAGAACATCATCCCTGTGTCTACTGGTGCTGTCAAGGTTAGGAACAAGATCATTACTGGCAGGTGCCCACCTCACAATGTATTATTAGTCATGGATCTGACCTGACATCTAGAGAAAGCTGCTAAATATGATGGCATGAAGAAGGTGATGAAATGGATGTTGGAAAGCTCCCTAAAGTGCATCTTAGGCTCTGCTGAGGATCAAATTGTCTCCTTCAACTTGACATTCTTCTTTGATGTTGGAGCTGGCACTGCCCTCAATGACTGCTTTGTCACTGAGTTGGCAACAGCAATAGGATGATAAACATGGCCCACTTATGGCCCATATGGCTTCCAAGGAATAAGAGCCCCCTGGACCACTGGCCCTGGCAAGAGCACAAGACAAATTAAGAGACTCTCAGCTGCTGGGAAGTCCCTGCCCTAACTCAGTCCCCCAACACACTGAGAATGTCCCCTTCTTACTAGTTTCTATTCACATCCTGTGAAAAAAGGTTTGGGACTACGGAGCCCTACCTTGTCATGTACTATCAGTAAAGTCTGCTTCATCCCAAAAAGAAAAAGAAAAGATGTCAACATTGCTAAGCATATGGAAAATGCAAATTAAAAATTGCAATGATACCACTTCACATTCAGGATGGCTATTATCAAAAAAGAAAGAAAATAACAAGTGTTGGCAAAGGTGTAGAGAAATTGGAACCCTTTTACATTGCTGGTGGGACTATAAAATGGTATAGAAAATAGTATGACAGTCCCATCCCCCCAAAATTAAACATATAATTACCATATAGCCCAGCAATTCCACTTTGGGGTATATATACAAAAAAAAAACTGAAAGTAGGAACTCAAACAATATTTATACACAAGTGTTAGAGCAATTTTATTCACAATAGCCAAAAAGGTGAAAACATTTCAAATGTCCATTGACAGATGAATAGCTAAATAAAATGCAGCATATACATATAATGGATTATTATGTCAAAAAAAAAGAATGGAATTCTAACACATGCTACAACATAAAAAAACCTTGAAGACAGTATTTTCTAATTTCCTTTGTGATTTCTTTAGCTGATAAACTATGTAGAAATATATATTTCTAAACACAACAAGAATTTTCTACTTATCCTGTTATTATTACATTCTTAATAAATGCTTGATTGCACAATGTCCAAGGAATATGCTCTATGTGAATTCAGTCTTTCAATTTGTTGAAACTTGCTTTATGGCCCAACATGTGGACAATTTTGTAAACATTCTCTGTATTCTTCAAAATAGTATTCTCCAGTTGTTGTGTATCATAATGGATCTGTCTATCCATCTCTCTCTATCAGGTTAGATTTGTTAATTATGCCGTTCAAGTATTTATTGTCACATATTGTTCACCACTAATCACTGAGAGACTTGTGGAAAGCATTTTTCAATATAAATGTAAATTTTTTTCTCTTATAATTTTGTCATTTGCCTTACATATTTGAAGGCTATATTATAAGTTCCCTGCAGTATTGAAATGAAAAATATCGCTTGTGAATGGAATTTTTTAAAATCATTAAGGAGTAATATTTCTTTCTTTCAGGTGTATTCATAACTGCCTGTTCAGGCATTTTTATCATGACTGCTTTAAAATCTTTATTAGATAATGCTAACATCTTTGTCATCATTGATTGATGTTGTCATAAATTGTCTTTTTTACATTCAGTTTGAGATCCTCCAAGTTTTTTGTATGAGTGATTCTCAATGGAAACTTGGGGATATTTTCTTAATTTGTCATAAAATTGTAAAACTTATTTTTTCAATGAAACCTATTATTTGAGAAAATATTCATAATATAAAATTTATCATCTAAACTATCTTATGTTCAATCCATTGACATTAAGTACATCCATGGTGTTGTATAATCTGCACCACTATTCTAGAACTTTCTCACCATCCTGATCAGAATCTCCATTAAACAATAACTACCCAGTCCTTCTTTCTCCCAACCTGTGGTTACCACTATTCTACTTTCTGTCTTTTATAAGTCTATCTTTTCTATGGCCTTATATAAATGGATCACATATTTGTCCTTTTGTGTCTGACTTATTTTTCTTAATTCTTTCAAAGTTCACTCACATAGCAAGTATCATTTTTATGGCAGATAGATACATCACATTTTATTTATTTATCTATTCATTTATTTATCTATTTTATTATTATCTATGGCTTTTAACAGTGTACTCCTCCTCCTCAGCATTCTTACTATCTTATGAAAATATCATTATTCACTAAGAGCTTATGTACGTTATTATTTTTGATTACCCCAAGCAATAAATCACAAGCTTCTGTGGTAGATTATAAACATGTTCTCATTTGGTTTATAGAGAACTTAGTGGAAAAATTGGTGTTACAATATATTTTTTCCAAAAATAAATTTCAACCTTGTTTATAATCTCTTTTATTAAACTAAGATCCTCATTTAAGACTGACTTCTGTGCATTTCTTAGTTGGGTCAAAATGAAGGTGTAACGCTATTATCTGTGAACAGGCAAAATGTTATTTAAATTAATGTGAAACAACATTTTCTTACAAAGGAAATGTCATAAGGCGAAACAGAAAAGCTCCAGAGAAGTGAGCTCATTTTCATTTCATTGATCCGATGATGTTTTCTTATACATAAGAAGTCTTCTGAGTAAATTAGACATTTCAAATCTTTTTTAATCCAATCTGGAATTTCAATACCTGGAAATTTCAGTTCATGTTCAATTTCAAATTGTATATTATTCATCTTGGTTCATGTTCAATTTCAAATTATGGATTATTCATTTCTGATTTTCCTTCCTCTTAAAAATATTAGGTTGGGAAAGGAAAAGAAAATTAAGTTTAGTCTGTCCAATTTAGTTCCCTTTGATAGTGCTATTATATACTGAAGTTTGACAAATGACTAGCCAAAATGCTGGGTAGGGAGAAGGTTTAAGGCAAAAAAAAAAAAATTATAGCCAAAAAGTTCCCTGAGAACATCTTGATTTGTTTTGTTCCGTGTGCCTTCTCTTTTTATATTTTGTACATTTTATGTTATACAAAGATACTGTCTATAATGCTTATTTTTCTTAGTTTCCAGGTTTATATCTTGATATCTATATATACCATATTACTTTGGATTCCTACTATGGATAAAACAATTCAAATCTACCTTCTCTCTATATGCAAAACATGAATATCAGATGAAAAATTACTAATAGCATAAATCTTCCAAAAGTACTTTACCTACATCTATAAATATCTTGGAGAAATTAGAATCCTTAGGAAGCTAAAGTTGGTCAAGGGAACAAATGTTTAAATTCTCCTAAGTATAGCATAGAAAATAAAGTTTGGCATCAACACTAATTTCAACTAATGGACATATATATATCAAAAAGATTGTCCCTGTCCTTAGAGTATATGAAGATAAATATTTTAACTTTCCTTTCTTGGTAGAATTTTGGGGGTTTTAGTTTTTGTTTACATATGACTTTATTATTTCCTCAGATACTTTGATTATGGACTGGGAAAAATTATGTACCTGAAATTAAGGGAATCATGTCTTGGCACATACCTGTACTTCTTTTTAAAATATTTTTTAATTATGGATGGATAATACCTTTATTTTATTTATTTATTTTTATGTAGTGCTGAGGATTGAACCCAGTGCCTCATACATGCTAGGCAAACGCTATACCACTGAGCTACAACCCCAGCCCCGTACTTCTTTTTGGTACTACATACTTCACTTTCTATATGTGGTACATTTTATATCCTCCCCTAGATTAAATGACTTAAAAGCAAAAAAACCAGCCTATTTTCTAATTATATTATGCCTATTGTGGCACTTTGCACATAGTAGGTTTTTAATAAACTTTGGTTGACTATGGAATTATTGAACAATCATGTAAAAATTACTTAAAATTAACAGTAAAAATGGAAGCTATTTTATTCTTAATCATATTGTAATGAAGACTATTTTAAACTCTTTGCAGTGATGATACAAATATTTAAACTATTTATGTGCCTCAACTTGACATAATTTCATGATAACTTGATGGCAATCACATTTAAATATATTAGAATATTTTTGTAATAATGCTATTCTAGAATAGCAACTTTAATAGCTGGGAAAACATGTTAATAATGGCCATTAACCTGAAGGAAACAGGGAACATTAAATATTTTTTTCAGAAATAAATGTATAAGATTAAATATTCCACTAAAATATTTATGAGCAAACCTCAAATTAAAATCCATAAAATGCAAACCATCAAATGTTTCAGTTATAGAATAATTTAGACTATATTTTGCAATTTCTCCATGTACATATGGGTGAATACTGTGTAAAAAATTCATTTTCTTCTTTGGTGTCTTTTACTATCACTATTTAAATACCAAAATGAATTCTGCTTGAATGCAAGACCAAGGCAGTCCTGTAGAAGACCTTCTATCGATCAATATGATCTGAGTGTACACAAGCAAGTTATTTTCCTTACCTTCAGGACAGCTATGAATGGTACAAAGTTAGCCCTTTGGAGTCCATTTTTATAGAGGTCTGAAAGAAACAAATGATATTAACTTTTTACTTAGTTCAAATCATAATGTTAGTTTTTTCAGTCTGGCAAATAAACTCTCCACTGATTTAAAATAAATTTTCAAAAAGATAAAGGAGCAAAATTTTTTTAAAAGGTGATTTCTATTAAAATATAACACAAAATTCGCTATAATTTTGATTAAAAAAAAGCAGTCACAGAAAGATGAAAAGGCATTCAATCAAATTAGTTTTAAACACAAAGGGCATAGTTGCATATGCCCATAATCCCAGCTGCTGGAAGGTTGAGGCAAGAGGATCACAAATTCGAGGCCATTCTGGGCAATTTATCAAGATCCTGTCTCAAAATTAAGTTTTAAAAAGGGTTGGTGATGTAGCTCAGTGGTAGAGCACTTGTCTAGCATAATTGACATAGCTCTTGGTTCAATACCCAGTAATTCTCCCACCCCCATCACCAAAACTTAGCTTTAAGCAGTAATAAGATATAATAAAAGAATTTGGAAGCGATCCCTTCCGAAATCCTAACTTAATAGCCTAATATAAGAAAGTGATATACTTAAAAGTATCTAAAACTGGAATACATAGAATTCTACTGGGAAAAGAATCATAGTCTTATTTTCTCAGTCTATAATATAAATTTTCAGTAAAGAATTAAAATTTGTTTACTAAGATGAGCCTTTTTAGAAAACACATCAATAGAATTCCTCCTGTATTTGTATCAAGGTTACATATTTGTCATCAAGGTAAAGATATGACACTTTAAATGAAACTGTCTAAAAATTAAAACTCTAATTTCTATTCTCAATAAACTGTAAACAATTATATCATAAATAGATAGTATTTACTGGTTTAGAAAGATGCTTTTCAATAAATGTATGTGTACAATGTATATTTGTTTACACGTACAAACATACTTGTCATGAATAAACAACTAAAAAGGGGAAACAAATTTTAAGCACTGCATTATTCCTTTTTAAGTTTGTTTTTGTAGATGTAGATGGACAGCATGTGTTTATTTTATTTGTTTATTTTTATGCAGTGCTAAGGATCGAACCCAGGGCCTCATACGTGCTACATGTGCTAGGCAAAAGCTCTTGCCACTAAGCTACAGCCCCAGCCCACATATTATTCTTTAAAAAGGAAGACTTCTTAGAAAAAAATGTTTAAAAGTTTGAAATTTTATTGCATAAGCCAGTCTACAAAGTTATTAGATCTTTGAAAAAAATATAAAAATAGATATAGCAGGGGCTGGGGATATAGGACAGTGGTAGAACTCTTGCCTAGCATGCTAGAGGTCCTTGGCTCCAACCCCAGCACTACACACACACACACACACACACACACACACAGGAACAGCAAAAAGTGTTCTCAATAATAATAAATACAAGTTAAATTAAATTGTATTGCATTCTTTTTAGTATGGACTTATGGGATCTTTTCTATATTTCCTTATTTGGAGAAAATGTGTTAAATATGATAGATTTCAACTGCCACATTTACTAATGGAAATAAAATATCATTAAGAAATATTTATTCTCTTTAGAAAAATGTTCATCATAATATCATTATAGTGAAGAAAGTATTTGCATAAGCTCTTTGGTTAATTAAGGACTAGAAGCTTCAATTCAGTTTCATTTAATATTTCATTTAGGGATACTATAAAAGATAAATAAGGTTGGTCAGGCTGTTAAGATTTCAAAATTCAAAATAAGATACTTTCTTTCCTTATAGTCAATAATTCTAATGAGTAAAATGGGCAAAATGTAGGAAACAGGTTTAAAGTTAAGTATATTCATAGTCTTCCTTACCTACTAAGAGTTTCTGGGAAAGGTACATAAAAGTATTGCTGTATGTGAAGAGTTAACAACCATGATTGTCAAAAAGTGGTAAAAATTTTAAAATAAGATAATTTTAAAAATATACCCAATGTTTATGGCAGCTTTACTCATAATATCTAAAAACTTCAGTTTTTAATAATAGCTAAAAACTGGAAGCACTCCAAATGCCTATCATTAGCGACAAGATAAACAAATTGTGGGATATCTGTATGATGGAATACTACTTAGCAATAAAAAAGATAAAGTATACACACAGCAAAATAGATGAACCTCAAAACAATAACAGAGTAAAAGAAGCCAGACCAAAAAATTGAGTACATATTGTGTGCTTCCATTTATATAAAACTCTAGAAAAAGCAAACTAATCAATAGTAACAGAAAGAAAATTAGTGGTTGCCTGAGAGGGGGAGGACAAGGTTGACAGAGATGAAAAGGGGGCAAGGAAACTTTTGAGGGTGATGGAAAAGTTCACTACATGATTATGGTGACAGTTTCACAGATGTGGAGGTATGGCACTATTTTTAAAATTGTATCTTTTAAATTTGTGCTATTTGTAGTGTATCAAGTATATCTCAATAAGCCTTTTTAAATTTGTATTAGAAAAAGTATACACAACATTATTGAACATCAAAATACAATGCTATAGAATTAAAACTAAGATATTACAATAATGAAAGTTTTGGTTAAGGTAATTGTTTGGTTTGTAGAATAACATCTTTTTATGACATATAAGGCCCTCTGATGTAGTTTAACAATTTAAATGCACCTTTTAAAATGTTAATGACAATGAGACAGATAAAGGCTTACTCATAATGTTCTTGATTAAAAGATTTTCACTCATCAGCAAAGTTAAAGTAGAATAATAATGCTTTTATTTATTAGAGACTTAATTTTTTAAAGGGTTAACTTTTTAAAACTCTGCCTTGGCAAAGATACATTATTTAAAACTTTATACTCTGAGAAGTATTTTCTAAACAGAATTCTAAACAGAAATTATTTGGCTTGAAAACCTTTAGGGTTTTACAGGACACTTAAGTAAAAAAAGGATTGTACTCATTAAATTGAAGAGTTTCTCTGCAATTCAAATAACATGCTAATTATCAATGCAATAGATCCATCTTCTGAAATGTTATTTGGCTACCAAAATTTTTAATATTAGTTGTTTAATATTATTGTTGTTAGACATAAAGATTTTATAATACGTTGATATCAACGTTTGTCATTATTTACTAAATACTATTTAAAAATTTAGCAGTTCTCGCCTATGATTTTTTAATGCTCTCTGAACAGAGCTAAATGAACACTTGGTCATATAAGACAGAGTACTGGAATTATGAGACATTCATTTTGTAGAGAATAGCATAAGGACCTCTAAATTCTTCACAGTGAATGACTATAATAATACTCACAGATGAAATGCATGCAAAGAGGATTTTTAAAGTAATTACAAGTACATAAATACTTCGGAGATGCACATGGATATGAAGATCTTTTCCTTAAAAATCCAAGTGTCAAAACCCAGAGGGTGAATAATGCTAATTTATATATGTGTAAATCAGTTTAGGGTAAGAAAAACATTTAAGGCAGGTAATTAAAAAGAGTTTTCCTATAAAGTAACATAGAATAATTATATGGTTTTATGGAGTCAATCTGATTTATCCTTCAAGATATTCTTATTTTATTATAGATTAGAAGAAAAGGGCATCTTTAGAACATTTAAACAGCAACAGCTACTTAGCTTCTTTGAAAAAAACAACTAAAGTTCAAATAATATTACTAAATCTGAAGATAATATAGCTAATTAAATGTTCCTATTTGAGAGTATATTATTCTTTGATATTCAATTCAATATATAATCATAATTCCTACTATTTTTCTACACTGAAATGAGTGCTGAAGACAAAAGATAAACAAAAAGAGAAACTAGGATTTACAAAGTCCCTATTAGAAGCCAGGCAAGTTGATGGACACCTCACACAAATCATAATAACCCTACAAAGCAGATATTTTTATCTCTATTTTATAGATAAAGCAACTGATATCCAGGGTTTTGAAGATAACTGGCTGAATTCCCAGCCAGGAATTGATAGACCTAAAATTAGAGCCAAGGACTTTGATAACACTAAAATTTACAGACTTTTTCAGAATCACTGTGACCAGTGGGCTTATGATAGTTGACAGACATAACCAGATTGTAAATATGATATGATTTAAAATGGGATGTCATATATGAGCCTAATACACACAGCAGGAAACTTATAATTTTATCTGTGTGTTTAATGACAGCTTTATAGAGCTAACATTGGAACTGGACTACATTGGAACACTGAGAAGGTGCTACCAATTAGGATAAAAAAGAATTCTAGGCAGCAGAATCAGCATGAGCTTATTACTTCCTCTATCTTTGCTAATACTACGCTGCTTAAATGGCAATTTTTTGTGTGTGGTGGACCAACTTTCAGAGTGGTCCTCCATGATCCTCAACAAGTGTTCACAGCTTTGTGTAAACAATGGACACCAGAAATAGGAAAGTTATCTCTCAGAATATCGAACAAATGTAATGAACTCCACAACTACCCCCAGCTTAGAGCCTGTGGCAAGTTTATAGGATACTGTACAGGGATGGCAAACTAAGGCAGAGACACATGGACACAGGGAGTGAGAGAATCAGAGAAAAGAGAATGCCCAGTGAGAGAACACTGAAGATCACTGAATCCCCAGCTGAGTTCTCATCAGCAAAGGGGTGTGAGGAATTACCTGAAGCCAAAGAAAGAATTATCTAAAAGCATTTGAGGAAACGATCACTGGAGTTCACAGATGGCTGAAAACAGTGTCATTCCCACCAAACTGCCATAATTCATGACACATTTGGTCAAGTATTGAGAAAGGATGATCTCAATAGTGAGAAAAATTAGTCCTAGAGTAAATGCTCTCTGGTCCTACCACAAAAAGTTTAAAAGCAATACTCAAAAGAATCAAACTGCTAAGAGAACAATACTCATGGGAATGATTAGGAATAAAAAATATATACAAAAAAATTTTACATAATATCAAAGTACTTAGAAGTTTAATGAAAATTATAAACCTACAGATCTAAAATGCTCAATAAACTCCAAACTTGGTGTAGAAGACTATACCAAGGCACATGGATAATCACACTGCTTC